TAAAATTGTATTTAAAGTATTACATAGTTTTACCAAAAAATCCTAAAAGGGAGTATATAGATTACAAATCTTAATATATTTTATTTGATTGTTGTATTTATTTGGAGTTTTTATGTTATACCATTTAAAAATATGTAACATACATAATTAGTTATATATCTAAAAAAAGTATAAAATTTATTAATCTTTTAAAAAAGAAATCCTGGCGTTGTTTTCAATAAGGTATTTATCATTTTATCTTTTATTACTTCATTAAGGTAAAAATCACGGCTAGCCAAATTTATGCTGTTTCACACACACACACAGATATATATATATATATATATATATATATATATATATATATATATATATATATATATATATATATGTGAAAGTTGTGAATATTTAATGGCAGCATTTCGTTTTAGCATATTAAAAGTTAATCTCTGCCATTAGAAAATTATCCAAAATGTTAACGCTAATTGAAAATATGTATCCAAAAAGGGCTTGAATGATTGCTTTAATGGACTGTTTAGAACATTGATTTAATGCTTTCGTTTGGTTTAAGGTAGATAGATGTCATATACTCTGGGTAGTACTATGTTTCTTTCTTGAGTTGGAGAAGAAAAGGCTTTGGCCATTCTTGAGGTTCTTGCTGTTGCTTTGAGTGGTATGTATCTGCAGATTTTTAAAAAAATGCATCAGCTGTGATCCTAAAGAATTTAGCAGTGTTGATTCTTGGTCAATGACCACTTGGATTTTGAGGCGAATTAAACATAGGGCTCAACAAGAACAAACCCAATATAATCATAGTTTTGTTTCACTTAGGGATCAAGATGTACACAAAACATTGCTGCTTTACTATCCAAATCTTCATAAAGAGTACTAGTAAGAAGCAATGAATGTTTGCACTTTGTTTGGTTCAATGGATTTCGAATGGAAAATAAAAGAAAATATGAGGTACGATAATTTTTGGTGTCTAATTTGCTTTACTATCCAAATTTGCTTTACTACCCAAATCTCCACCTAGGGATCAAGATAGAGTTTCCTTCTTTGCGTGGAAGCACCGTTCCTCCATGGAGTGCAAGGCTTGGGCGAGGCACATATAACTTTTTTTTTACTTTTCAATTTTTATTTGAGAAAGATTTTTTTGTAAAGTAATAGAACTATTTTTTACTTTCTCCATCTCGCAATAGATTATAATTTTTTCTCTCACCTCTCGATATCTTTTGTTTATTTGTATGTTTTCATTGATTATTTAATTAAAAAAATTTTGTCACAACTTTTTTTGTAGAACTTTTGATGTAATTTTTAAATTTATAAGTTTTATTTTTAATTCTTATACCAATTTTTAAATGAAATGATTTTTAAAAATAGAGAGTTTTTGCATCGTAATTCTAAAATAATAATCTAAATTGAGATGAATTAGGAATAAATAAAAATATGGAGTAGATAACAAAAATATTTTTAATAATTAAAATATATATAAAAAATTATTTATTTGAGTAAATAGAAATGTTTTCTTGATAAAAATATATAAGTAAAATAATTTTTAATAATTCAAATATGGAAAAAATATGAAAAAAGTGATGAAAACAATGACTTGTCACTGCAAGGCATGCCACTCCACTCACGTGTCACTCATTGACTGGACTGTTTTTTATTGATTGACATGCTCCGCATTAGCGTGTGGCATTACATTTTTGCCTCACCATTGTTAATGCTTTGTTAATGCTCTTAGTTATTTGTCATATAAAGAATATAAAAAAAATTAGATTATTCAAATTGAAGACGAAAAATGGCATTGTGAGAATCACTTTTAAAATATACTCGGTAAAATCCTCCATTAGTTAAAGAAGATCTTAGACCACTCACAACAGTTTTTCTCACATGTGAGAGTTTTTAAGATATACGGGTAGTTTACCCAAATGGGATTTAGATATTTTTTTCCCATAAATGGAACGAGTCCTATCTACTAAAACATTTGACAATAAAAAAATTCTAAAATGTTCTCTATGAAAAAAATGACTTATTACACAATTCAAGTAGATCGAATAATACATTATTAAAAAAATTTGAGTAATCATTGAAATAATCAGTCATTATTTAACATTTGTTGCTAATGACTGCATTCGTAGAGTCATTCATTTTATCCGAGTATTATCCAACACTCGTTGTTGATAAAGACATATAAGTGAGATCCTATAGAATTATGTGCAATAAAAAGAATAAAACACACTTGATCTTATTCGGGAAAGGAATTAACATCTAGAGCAAATGTTTCAACGTATATCATGGTGATTAATTGGAGCGTAATTTGTTATTTCAAGTATATAAACTTAAAGGAAATTCTTAAACTGATTATTTGTACTCCCTCCGTTCTATAAAAGTGTTCCTATTTTGACTTTGTGTAAAATAAGGAAGTGTTAAATTGTAGTTGACTTCCAATTTTGCCCTTGATATGATGGGTAAAAATATATTGAATACAAAAAGATCATATCTGCGTCGAAGTATTCAGATTGGCGATGAAGAATTCAGATCAACAACAAAGAATTAAGAAGAAGAAGAAGAAAAGGACAAGAAAGAAGAGAAGAAGAAGAAGGAAAGAAAGAAGAAGAAGAGAAAGAAGAAGAGCAAAAAGAAAAAAAGATAGAAAAAGATGAAAACTGCATAAAGGAGGAAGAAAAAAATGGAAATGTGAACTGCAGGAACGAAAGATGAAAAGGAGGGAAAAGATTGGGAATGAGTGGTGAGGATTTTATACATGTTAGTATGAAAAAGTTTCCAAAAATAAAAATGAGAAGATTGTTATAGGACGGACGAACAATAAAAATAGAAACGTTATTGTTGGAGAGATGGAGTATAGATTAGAGATCATAGGTTTCTCGGGGCAATGAGAGCGAGTCTTTGTATTTGGGCCCAAAATCATTGATATGAATAGCATTCGGAAGACAACAAATTGATGACATTTGAAAGTAGGCCAAATAGCGCCAGTACCCCCGTGGTTTGCAAAATAGGCACCAAAACCCCCTCTGTTTTTAAAACTTGTTTCTAAAGTTCTTGTGGTTTCAAAATGCTGCACCCGTGCCACCTCTGATCATTTTCCGGCCATTTTTCCGGCGAAGAAGGGGGGCATTGCTGCATATTCACTAAACTACGGGGGATATCGGTGCTGATATTTATTTCTCGCTTATTTTTTTTGTTTTTTTCCATTTTTTCATTTATTTGTTTTTTTATTAATAAAGGTTTTTTTAAAATTATTTTTATAATGTTCATAAAATTTAAAGTTATTTTTTTTTTGAAAAAATTAACATATAATGTATATGTACTAGGGGTGGGCAAACGGGTCAAGGAACCGCGAGTCGGAACCGGAAAGCGAGGTTCGGGCCGGGTTAGGCGCGGGTCCTCTTTTCAAAAATTTAAAACGGTCCGGGCCGTATAGATTTTAGGGTCGGTCCGGTTCCTAATTTTAAAAATGTTTTGGACCCGGACCGGCCCGTTTATTTTAAACCCTAATATTATTTTTACTTTTTAGTAAATACTACCCCGTCCCAGAGTATTTGTCCACTTTCACTTTTACACATCATCCAATACACTTCTTTAATCCATTTTATCTTGTAATTTGTATATTAAAAAATTATAGAAATTATATATTATTAATCTATATGTTAAGACAAATCAAACAAGATCACACATAACTATATTTAGGCTTACACATTGAGAGAATTTGATTAGTCAAAGTGCTTAAATGAACAGTTTCAAAAGTCAAAAGTGGACGTATACTCTGGGACGGAGGGAGTACTAAATACCCTGGGTCACTGGACGCCTTAGCCTTACAAGTTACGAAGGAGTTAGCCGAGGGCAGTTTTGTTACTTTTGTATGTGGATGTGTAGCCTGCAATTATTCACACCTCAATTCCTCATAATTCACCATCCAATTACCCTTTGAAGGCATTATTCTATAATTTCTAGTTGTTTTGGAGAATGTTGGTATCATGATAGGTTTGGACCCGTTGACCCGTGGAATCAGCCCGTTTCAAACAAGCTGGGTTAGGTTCGATTTCAATTTTAAAATTTTGAAAACCCGTTCCGGCCCGAACAGTTTTAATAAATACAAGCCGAGTCCGGTTTATACAAATCTTGGCTCGAACGAGCCCATGCCCACTCCTAATATGTACTCCTCAAATCAACAATTTTTGTTTTTTTTTTGAAAAAAGTAAACTTTTTTTTTGAGAATTTCAAAAAAACGAGGAATAAAATAAGAAACAAAATAATACAAAAATTAAAATGAATATCTTTTTCAAACATCTCAATTCTAGGGACTTTTTTAGGCTTGTCCATTTTTTTGTATCAGACTTTTTTTGTGTATTTTTATTTTTCATTTTATTTTTCCATATTTTTATTTTTTTATTCTAGATTTTTCTTTTTGAACTTTCCAAATAAGTACGTAACAAAAAGTGAAAATGTTTAATTTCAAATAGATGCAATGTATGTTAATTTTTTTTATTTTTATTTTTATTTCAAACACAAAAAATTTTAAAATTTTAAAACATTATAAAAAATTGAAAATAAATTAGAAAAAAACTATGAAAACAAAAAAGAGATAGAAAATATTTAAAAAAATAAAAACACAAATAATAAACGAAAAATTAAAAAAAATGAGCACGAATGCCCCCTATGGTTTAAAAATTATGCGCAAATGCTCCTTTTTCGCCGGAAAATGGCCGGAAAATGATCAAAGGGGGCACGGGTGCAACATTTTGAAACCACGGCAACTTTATAAGTAATTTTTAAAAATAGAGGGTGTATTGGTGCCAATTTTTCAAATCACAGGGGGCACCGAAGCTATTTAGCCTTTTAAAGTATTATGTTGGAGACCTCCCAAAATAAATGGGTAAGAGATGAAATAATTTTCTCGGGCAATGAGGGCGGCCTTTGTATTTGGGCCCAAATTGATTGCTACAAATACCAAATACCACAAAAAACCTTAATTTCCGATGGCTAGAGGGAGTCGCGACAACCCCCCTGGGTGGAATCCGCCGCAGCGGCGGCCTGCGGCGTCGCTTTCCGTTGCTGCTCGCGGTGGCCCTCTTCTTCCAGAAGAGGGGAAAATCGTTGGGAGTACTCGTGCTGTGGGAAGAAGGAAAATCGTTAAGGGTCGCGCTGCCGGGAAAGGGAAAAGCGTTAAGAGTGGTCGTGTTGATTCGGATGAGGACGAGAAGCCATATGAAAGAATCAAAATGAGACCGGAGGATTGATTACCGTATTTCTATCCCGACGAGATCACTTACGACGACCTGAGTGGCGAGGAATTGGAACCCGATTTTCGCGAAAAGTATTACCCTCTTGTTCGCCAAGGACAAATAACCTTCCATGAATATCAACAACGCGCATTCGGCAGCAAGACTTATAGGCGATATTGCAGGCAAGCTAATTCAAGTCAGGTTCGTCTTGTCATAAATATTTTGTTGGTCTGATTGGTAAGAAAACATTTCGTAGGAGTTTAACATTTAACTACTCTCTTCTCATTGAGTGAATTGGTAAGGACCCCTAATTCATGCATTTGTCAGTCAATATCTGAGGAATATCATAATTTACTTTTATGTATTCGTGTATGATTTGTTTGATTGTTTTTTGTTCAAATTGATACCTATTGATCTTATTACAATTATGAATGATCGTTTGGTATATCTCAGAACAGATGCTCTTCTCTTTCTTTCCCTTACATTATGTTTAGATTGAATTCGTCTCTTACTTTGACTGATCTAGTAGTGTGTGTGCCTTTTGGTGTAGGGGTTCGATGTTGAGCAATTAGTTCCGCCAACTATGTATCCCCACATTATCCCTTGGTCCTATATCAAAGAGGAAAGCTCTCTCAATCAATCTCATGACAAAGTTTTTGGCTTAGCTGAATTGGCCCTCAGCCGATACAATGGCCGTTTCGTAAGATCTTTCTATTTATATCAACCTCTCCCTAGTTACACATATGGATGTGTAGAAACACACATTTGCATGTCTATCAGTATGTGTATAATCTTGGAGTATGGAGCTGTGCAAAACAATCATTTGCATCCCCATTTTCCAACAGTGCCTTTTTGCAACCAACCTCTTCATTGGATATTGTTTATATGGTGTATTAATTTGATAAAACAATGTTTTAAAAGTATTTTATAAAGTAAATCCAAAAAATTATATTTTTATGAATATATTATGTCGTAATTATTTAGTTTGTCGTCAAAGTTTGTCAAATTTGATAGTGAAAAGTTAAAATTGGACAAATACTCAAGAATCGAAGTTGTAATTAAGGAGTTTGGAATTAAGGGCAAGTCTACAAAAGAGCAAATCTTTTTTCATTCTACTTCTCATGCATTAATTATCTACAAACTTGCAAACATTTTATCCACTTGAACTTCAATTTGGCCCATTGCTACTTTATGCTTCAAATACAGGATGCCTGTTAATCAGGGTTAGGAAAAATAAAACAAAGAATGAAATGCAAAAGAAAAAGTCCTGAAATACCACCATATATGAAAGAAAATAAAAATGGGAATTGAAATAAAGCTAAGCTGAACAACTTAAAATTATACTCTAAAAATGCTAAAAATGTCTAGAAATGAAGAAAAACTACTAATCCAAAAACTGTCTTCTCAGTATTTATCATGTTTTGTGGTATTTGATGTAGCGAAAGTCATATAAAGTTGTGGATGTGCTAAAATGGAACCTGGGGAAAATCATGCCTTACGATGCTTACTTTATCACATTCAATGTCGAGAAAGAAGGCAAAGACGGTGGCACTCTAATAAGGACCTTTCAGGCCAAGGTCGGTGTTCATGTTGTTACCAAAAAACCTCTAGTGGAGCTCTGTCGTCCTCGCCCTGCTAGGAAAGGTAATTACTGCAATCTGTTTATGTTTGAGATTTTCCTTTAGGATGTTAATTGCTTCTTGTAGGCAGAAACTATTGGGTGGAATGATGCCAACCTATATTAGTTGTGGATCACGTCGATAAGATTGATCCTTTTTGTAGGATCCCTTTTAATGTCTATGATTCCTTGTACTTCTGCCTTTTGGTGCAGTAAGTATCTATAATATCATGGTATTCCACCTTTTCAGTTTTTTGACTACTTATAAGGGAATTTGGTTGTTGATATCTGTTAAACTTGTGCAGTAATTTCTCATGTAAAGTTCAATGAAATCTGTGTTTTTGAATAATTATTGTGATCATCCATCCATCTATCTTTCAGGTGACTCTTCTACGTTACAGGGGGGGAGAATGAGCATCCTTGGTTTCGCCCTTTGGAGGGGATAATGCTTGTGATGGTGGTGATCAATAGCGCGATTGAGTGATTGCTTTTATGGTGGGACTATTTGTCATAATGGATGGTGTTTAAAGGTTCAAACATTTTACACACTCTCTTCATCCAACACATCTTTCGCATGAGTTTAAATATTAGCATCCATTCATTCAAAATGTTATATGGTGGTTGAATAACACCAATGGAGGTGCTCTAGTACCCCAAACATGTAATTACGGAACAAATATTGATATTGCCTTCCAATTTTAGTTCTCCTTCCTTGGTTTTGATTTTGGTTCGAAACCGTAACCGTGTCTTGTTTATCTATAAAGGGCGAGGTGAGGCCAGTGATATTTTTTGTTTTTTAAATACCCTGAAGTCTTATTTTAATTTTACAAAAAAATGTAAAAAATGTACTCCCTAATCTTTGGGGCTTGTTGGGGTCATATATCCTTGAGTCGCAGTTTGAGGATTTTTGGGGCCATATATTCCTTAGTCATCGTTTGAGGAATGTTGGGGTCATATTTTCCTGACTTGTCTCTGCCAAAGAAAAGCGTTGTTGCCCAATTCACAATCACATAAAACATTTCCCTCCAGCTACACTACTACAAAAAAAGGCAAAAAGACTGCCCTCAATTGCATCGCATACAAAAATAACCGATGCAAAAGAGCAAAGGCATCGGTTATTTTTTAAAAGCGATGCAATTGTTTTTTTTAAAATTAAATTTGGAAAAAAGAAATAAGTATTAGCATCGGGTATTTAATAGAACCGATGCAATTGCTCAAAGGCATCGGTTGTACAAAACAACCGATGCTAATACATATTTTTTATTTTTAATATTTTCAAGTATTAATGCAAATGCATCGGTTGTTTGCAGGAGCTGATGCTAAAACTAAAGCTTAAAGTTTCGAAATTCTTAAAAATACAAAGGCATCGGTGTTCTTTAACAACCGATGTCAATACTCTTTTGTATTTTGTTAATATAAATTATATTGGACCAATTAGTAAACATACTTTTAAATGATTTTATTTTATAATGTTTAAAACATTATTTGTGTGAAGGAGATAGGAGGCGGCACATTCTATCGACACGGTTAGGTTTCGTGAGAAAACTCTGCTCTCGTCGTCTACGGAGGAGAGCAGACGGAAGGCTGAGCTAGACGGAGGAGACCGGACGGTAGACTGAGCTCTCGTCGACGGAGGAGAGAAACTGTGCCGACCATCTGCGCTGCATCTAACGCGAAGATTCGAATCTGACATTCGCCGGACGGATATTGACGGCGGCCATCGAACTGAAAAGGTCTGAATCTTTGAACTATTTGTTGCCTTTGGGAAATTTCTTTTATAATATCGGTTGCTGCTTGTGTTGGTTTCGTCATCTTATATTTTTATTGTTGATGTGTTTTTGCTCAACTGACGGGGAATCCGTGATTATGCTTGTTGGAATGTTTGATTATGTGGGTTAATTTAAGATTAAGTATGGATTCTCGAATTGAGTTTGATTTGGAGTTTGAATTGGGTTTATGTTGCTTGCTGTTCTTGGGGTTATGTAGAATTGGGGTTATGTTGCATCTATTTAACTTGGCGCATCTGTTTGTTGGATTCTGTCTCTGCTTGCTTGCTCTGCTCTGTCGCTGCTGTTCATGTGCCATTATATATGCTAGGTATATGTTTTTCTTGAATAACATAATGCATACTATAAGGTAAACAAAAAGGGAGAAAAATAGGAACGTAGGAAAATATTCATACTTACATTGGTAGGAGCTAAAGAGAGTTGAAATTGCAAGGGACAAAATTAGTGAACATTTGAAGCTAATAGCCACCATTGTTATGATTAGCTCTTTGTGTTTTTCTTTCTTACATGTGTGTGTGTCAATTGTCTAGGATGATCTTTTCATTGAATTTTTACTCAACTACCTATATGTTATTATGATAGAGTCATATATGATGGATCGAAGTTGGATTGATATGCCACGAACTTCGCCAGAGTTTTGTAAGGGTTTCGATGAGTTCCTTAGCTTCGTTCAAAAATATTCATCCCTCCCTCTTTACTATATAACAGGAACATTGAGTACAGTATTGGTAAAATACCAGCTATCACAATTCCTATATTCTGAAGTACACATAGTGTTCCCAAAACTCAGCTGAATATTTGTTACCTATACCGTACCCCTCTGACTTTTACAACCAAGTTGTAAATCACCTGCCCACCTACTGCTGTTACTGTTATAGCTACATTTCCAGGCTGAAGGGAACAATGAATTTGAGGATAATTCTGGCATGGCCCATGACTTTGAAAATGTTATTGATGATGAAGAGCGTAACATGTATGAGACTTTGGTACATAACTCAAAAAACCGTTGTATCCGGGTTGTACTAAGTGCACATGTTTGAAAGCAATGCTAGAGTTGTTCAATTTAAAAGTGGCAAACGGTTGGAGTGATAAAGGATTCACATCTTTGTTAGGTTTGTTGGGGGAGCTCCTTCCAGACGGACATGAACTTCCTTCATCCACTTATGAGGCTAAGAAAATGATGTCACCAATGGGAGAGGGGTACAAAAAGATACATGCTTGTCGAAATGATTGCATATTGTATCGCAACGAATATGAGGATCTTAGTGAATGCCCAAAGTGTTTTGCTCCGCGTTATAAGGAGTCAAGCGACAATGCTTCTCTTAAGGGTCATGGCGGTAAATCAAGGATTCCAATTAAGGTTATGTGGTATCTTCCGATAATACCGAGGTTTAAGCGTTTATTTGCGAGCAATAAAGATGCTAAGAATCTTGTTTGGCATCATGAGCAGCGAAAAGATAATGGCACCCTACGTCATCCGGCTGATTCTCCGCAGTGGAAGACAATTGACGTCACTTTTCCTGAGTTCGGCAATGAGCCTAGGAATCTTCGTTTGGGGCTCTGTACTGATGGGATCAATCCATTTGGAAGCCTTAGTACGCAACATAGCACATGGCCGGTACTGCTTGTGATATACAACCTTTCACCAGAGCTGTGCACAAAGCGCAAATACATCATGTTGTCTTTGTTGATACCTGGGCCCAAGCAACCAGGTAATGACATAGATGTGTATCTGGCCCCCATGATTGATGACTTGAAAAAAAATGTGGATTCATGGTGTGACTGTATTTGATGCTCATCGTCAAGAGTCCTTTACACTACGGGCAATGATTTTCTGCACGATCAATGATTTCCCAGCATATGGTAACCTATCTGGTTATAAAGTGAAAGGAAAGAAGGCGTGTTCAATATGCGAGGAGAATACTTCAAGTGAATGGTTGAAGTATAGTCGAAAAACTGTTTTCTTGGGTCATCGTAGATTTCTCAAACGTAATCATCCTTATCGGCGTATGAGAAAAGCTTTCAACGGGAAAGCAGAGGACAATGTTGCTCCAAGGATATTGACCGGTAAAGAGATACATGAGAAGTTGAAGAATATAAATCATGTGTTTGGCAAGACACAAAAACGTGATGTAGATAGCCCAATTTGGAAAAAAAAGTCCATTTTCTTTCAGCTTCCTTATTGGGAGTGTTTACCGTTTAGGCACTGTCTTGATGTGATGCACATCGAGAAGAACATATGTGACAGTTTGATTGGCACCCTCTTAAACATACCAGGCAAGACTAAAGACGGTGTAAATGCAAGAAAAGACCTTGTCGACATGGGCATAAGAGCACAGCTTGCTCCGCAAGAGAGAGGGAAACGCATGTTCTTACCGCCTGCTTGCTACACGCTATCTAGACAAGAGAAAATTAGTCTTTGTCAATGTCTACAAAGTATCAAGCTTCCACAAGGGTTTGCAGGCAACATTAAGAGTCGTGTGTCAATGACAGACTTGAAATTAGTTGGACTGAAGTCTCATGATTGCCATATTCTGATGCAACACTTATTGCCAGTGGCAATTCGAGCGATATTGCCAACAAATGTGAGGGGGGCGATAACGAGACTTTGTTACTTCTTTAATGCAATATGTAGCAAAGTGATTGACTCAGAAACTTTAGATGCACTCCAAGAGCAGGTGGTTGTCACTTTATGTGAGTTTGAGATGTACTTCCCCCCATCCTTCTTTGATATTATGGTTCATTTAGTGGTTCATCTGGTGAGAGAGGTTAAGCTTTGTGGCCCTGTATATTTGAGGTACATGTATCCTTTTGAGAGATTTTTGGGAATTCTTAAAAGGTATGTAAGGAACTGTTATAGACCAGAAGGTAGCATTGTTGAAGGATATGTGGCAGAAGAGCTTATTGAATTTTGCACTGATCATTTGAAAAATATTTGCACCATTGGGATACCCAAATCTCGTCACGAAGGGAGAATTGAGGGGAAGGGTACAATAGGGCATCACATCATTCATCTTGATTCTAAGATGTTTGATAGGGCACAATTGTATGTTCTACAACAAAGTGTGGAAGTTTCTCCATATGTTGATGAACATATGACCCTTTTGAGGCAGATGAACCGTGGTAAAACAGAAAGGTGGATTGTAATCGAGCATAATCGGTCATTTTTGAATTGGTTCAAGGATCGTGTTAGCCAGCAAATGTCACAGTCACCCGATATGGTCACAGAAGTTGTGAGATCATTATCAAGTGGGCCGTCAGTGAATGTTCCATCCTATGAGGGATACTACATGAACGGCTATTATTTTTATACGAAGCGTCAAGATGACAAAAGTACGGTACAAAATAGTGGCGTGTCCTTGGTTGCTTCATCGTTACACATTCCAAAGTCTAAAGATTTGACCCCAATCAGGGCCGACAAATCATACTATGGAGTGATTGAGGATATTTGGGAGCTTGAATATACAACTTTTAATGTACCTGTGTTTCACTGTAAGTGGGTGGATATCAATAAAGGTGTGAAAAAGGATGACATGGGATTTACATTGGTGAATTTTCAGAAGTTGGGACATCAGGATGAGCCTATTATAATGGCATTACAAGCTACGCAAATTTATTACATTGTTGATCCCAAGGATAGTAATTGGTTTGTCGTACGCCAAGGTAAAAGATCCGTGCTTGCTCTAGATGAAAATGAAACCGATCAAGGGGATATGGGTATATACGACGAAGCAACACCTATATCAATCGGTATCAAAAACTCACAATCTGATGATAGTGAAGAAATTTACATTCGGGGGGATCTCGAAGAAGGGTTGTGGATAGATGAGGAGAATAAAAAGAAGAGAAAACAATGAAATTGGTTTGTATCATATTGATTATAAACAATGTATTTACTTTTTGTGTGTACGTTTTATTCGAATATTACTTTTTCATTTAAACTTTAATTTGATGCAGTGTTGATTTTACAAATTGACAGGTATGGCACACCCTCCCAAGAAGCATAGAGGATCCGCTAAGTGTGAGGCATTATATAAGCGGAAGAAGGACGGTCATCCACCGATGCAACTGCAGTGGCGGCACAGGCGTCCTTTTGCTGGGCCACATGTAGGAGTCTTCCCTTCCCTTGTTGGGTTTGAGGCGAGAAGCAGAGCTAGAATTGACATTACGATGTGGCCTTTGGTCCCGAAAGATGTTAAGGACACGATCCTAGCAGAGATTCAAGTAAGTTATTGTGTATGAGTATATAAAATTTGCATGTTCAATACGTTCATATTAACTGCCAATATTTTAAATGCTTGCAGACTATCTACGAAATACCTAAGGAGGGCATCAATTACACTCTGAAATTGGCGGGCGAGAGATGGCGTGCATTCAAAGTTAAGCTCCGTAAGGATTTTTTGAAGCCGGGTGGGAAGAGGCGGGGTGAACATCCCAATTATTATTACAACTTTGTGACACGAGAACATTGGGAGAACTTTAAAAATTATTATACATCTGACAACATGAAGGTAGCGTACACACACCAGCCCCACCCTTGCCCCCCCCCCCACCCCTACAGTAGGTACCCCAAACAATAAGATTGAATCCCTATTTTGTTAAGGTATTAGATTATTGAAGGTAAATTTGAGATGGTATTTGAAACTTTTTTGTAGGCCATTAGTGCAGCTAACACTGAGCGTCAACAGAAGAACGTGTATCCACATAACATGGGCAGAGGTGGTTACAGGATGTTAGAGCAGAAGATATTATCTTCAAGTAGCACCACTACTACCGAAAACAACTCATCTGTCCCTCCTGACTTGTCGCGAGAGAATATGTGGTTATTGGGTCGTACAAAGGACAATCAGATACCAAACCCTAATGTTAGGGAAGTTGCAGAAAGGATAGTATGTACATTGTCTAGATATTTTTTAATGCTTCATTATATGTATTTTTTGAAACATTAGTAATATTGTCAATATTTACAGGTGAAGTTGAAAGCTGATGCTCAAGCAGGGACTTTCACGCCTGTTGGACATGATGACATTCTCACTCGTGCACTCGGTACTTCTGAGCATCCTGGCAGGACTAGAGGTGTCGGGTCACTTGTCGGGCTACGAAATGTTTTTAAGGGGAAAAAGAAGTCTCAAAAGTCTGATGGAATGTTCATGACACAAGACGAGTTGGAGCAGTTCAGGAAATCTGTACTTAATGACGCGTTCACCATGTACACGCAACGACTTCCCCAGCTTCTTCAGTCTCTTGGAGTTCAAGTGTCAGGCAGCATTGAGAACATTGCCAACATTTCGCAACAATTTCCCATGTCTACACCACAGTTTCAGCAGAGCAGCAAGGCTTCGGTAGATCCTGACCCATTTGCAGACCTTACTGAGGTTGATATATTTAAGCTTGGGTTTGGAAAGGGAGGGGAGTGGACTGGTCGAGTATATGGAGGAGGATGAAGGGTTGATTTTTAAGATGGTTTAAAGGCATAAGAATAGGGGAGAAAAAGGGGGATACTGGTTGTGCTTTTTAGGAGGGCCGAAAATTTGGAAGGGAAAATAAGAGGGGAAAAGGGATAAAAACCAAGTAG